AGCCAGTGAGGAGCAACTTGTCCTCCTGAAAGATAATTAATCCTTAGTGCATGGATTAAAATGTACACCCAGAAATTATAAATCTATCTATAATTCTAAATGCCTTTTCTTGCCCATCTAAAAATGCAGAGATTCCTAGGGTGCTTTAAAATGCAACAATGAAGCAGAGGGAGAAAACTGTAATGCTAATAACCTGTGAGAGTAGTAAACATACATCAGGTACAGAAAGTCAGCCTCCAGAAGAATTTTTTTTCAGTACAACACCACTATCTATGTCAAGTGTGCCATGAGAGCAAAATTATAAAGACAACGATCATCTGCTCAGGTGAAACCATCATGGTGAGTATACTTATTCCTTTCTATTTTTCCACTGTTCAGCTGGGCTTCCTCATTACCTGAGGAAACTGAAATGCCAACCCATCATTTTGTGTCATGTATGTTTATTCGATTCCCTAAAATTGTTCATACCAATTCCCATATAATATCTTGTAGTTAAACTGCTCAAATTTAGGAACAAAAACTGACAATAAATGAAATAAATATAAAACCATGTACATTAAAATTAATGAGAGAAATTAAAGGAATATTTATTTATTTATTTATTTAAAAGCAAAATTCTGAATGAAACTGAGTCTTAAGTAAGCATTTGTAGACAATGGAATAATAAGCAAACCGTTCATATCAGCACGGTGTTCCAAACAGCAGATGCCACCACTAAGAAGGTCTTTCACAAATGTAAATAAAATGGAATAAGTGAATATTCTAGTGATCAGGGTAATATTTTCAAAGAATCTTGATTACGTTTTGTTAAAAGTAAGCTTTGGAAAACTCTGTTTGAAGATTGATTAGAAACAAGGGGGTAGAATGCAAGCTCTAACAATCACTTGGACTATTTCCAGCTAATACATGTGGCACTTAGCCACAGTTTAGCATTATTTTCTATATTGATAGAACCTGGGTAGAGATGTAAAAGTGTAAGACATAACCCACCCAGCCTCAGCAAATCATCATCCTCATAGGAAAATGTGATTATTTCTCATGTTTTCTTCTAAAATTAACGACTAATGAAATTACAGGTAGTCCTCGAGCTACAACTATTTGTTCAGCAACCATTCAAAGTTACAGCAGTGCTGAACAAATACTACTCACATCCGGTCCCCAAAGTTATGGCCACTGCAGTGCCCCCATGGTCATGTGATGAAAATTTGGGCATTTGGCAGCCCACCCACACTTATGGCTGCAGGGGCACTTCAACTTCCCCCACCTGCCTATCTCCCCCCCCATGTCAGCCCTTTTGGCCCCTTGCACCCCACAGCCCTGCTGCCCTGCACTCTGCCACCCCCAGCTGACCTTCACCATCTTCTTGCTCCCCCTGCTGACCAAGCCCACCCAGCCTGGCCCTTCATGAGGCAGCTGCTGGCCATGTGAGATTTTCTTCCTGACATTGCGAGAAGAAATGGAGAAGAAGGCATCACGTGGCCAGCAGCTGCCTCACAAAGGGCCAGGCTGAGCATGCCTCATCAACAGTGGGACAAAGAAGACAGTGAAGGTCAGCTGGGGGCAGCAGAGTGCAGGGTAGTAGTGGCCTCCAAGTGCAGGGCGGCAAGGGCAACTGTGTCTGGGGCTTCATGCTGTGCTGCTGGGCCGGGCTGGCGTGGCTGGGGCTTTCTGGGGCAGTTGCAGCTTCACAAGGCAGGGTGCAGGGTGGTCAAAAGGGCAGAGGTCGGGGGGGATTGGTGGTTGGGGGAAGTTGAAGGGGAGGCAGTCTCTTACCTCAGGGCTGGGAGGGTCCAAGCCAGGAATGACTTGGATCGGGGTGAGTTCTCACTAATGACTGGTGGGATTAGGTTAATGATGGCAACAAGGAGTGCTGGGATTGCTGTTGCTAAGCGATGTGGTCACATGACATCAAGCTTAATGACATTAGTGACAGAAATTCCAGTCCCAATTGCCGTCATAACTCGAGGACTACCTGTATTTTTTTTTTAATCATTTGGTTGTTGTGTTCTTGGCTGTTTTGTTGTATGGCTTTTTGTGTTTTTTAACTTTATATGCCACTCAGGGTCATGTATGTGTGATGGGCGGCTATATTAACTTACCAAATAAATAAATACAGGTAGTCCTCAAGTTAGGATGGCAATTGGGACTGGAATTTCTATCATTAATGTGGTTGTAAAGCTTTATGCCACATACCATTGAAATCCACGCTTCAAGACCAAAATAGTCTTGGTTATCACTATAAAACTGATACAATAGCTGGAGAGCACACTCAGTTTCCCTAGTAATACAGCCACTTTACAGGCTCCACACCCACGTTCCTGGATCCCCAGGCCAAATGGAAAAGCCATGTCTTCAGGCTCTTCCAGAAGGTTACAAGGGTCAGGTCCAATCTGACCTTGGGAATGATGTTCTACAGGGTAGGTGCCTTGGCAGAAAAGGCTCTCCTCCTGGGTTCCATCAGATGACATTCCATCATGGATGGGACCTGCAACATGCCCTTCCTGCCAGACCTGATGGGACGAGTAGATGTGATTGGAGGCAGTCCCTCAAATAATTCAAATAAATTATGAAATACTAATAGTTCACATATTGCTATCCAGTCTTTATTTCTCCCCAAAAAGATTTCTATGAACAAAGTAATAGGCAGATTTTATATGACTACTTTCAATATAATATTATTACTATTCCTGTACAAAGAGGTCATGTTACACAGTATGGTCTCCAGTCCAATTACAAAAATGCATTTCTTCCTCTAGGGACAAGAAAGCCACTCAGTCCTCATGGACTAGCTTCTTCTTACTGACCTTTGACCTAGAAATTGGTAGATCTGTTCCAGTTCTCCAGAAGTACTCAAAGAATCCACTTATTTGCATCCCTAAAGAGTACTTAAAAATACTGTGTGTGTATGGACATTTTCCCCCTGTATTTATATATTTTCTGGGGGAAAAGGGGAGCATTTTTCCATCAGTGCTTCAAAATCAGTGCTTTCCTATTGCTAGTTTCCCCTGACATTGATAGTGGAAAGCTGGTAACTGTTTCACACCTACCAGTATATCACCCTGATTAGCTAATTAGAAGAAAAAGCAGGGAGGGACCCATTCCCTGCTTTTGGAGTATAACTGGTTAGTGCTGAATTTGGTTACAGCTTCAAATGAGGAGGTCAAAAACCCTGCTCAAGCAAGATACTCACTGGTTATGTTTCGATCACTCACCTCTCTCAGCCTAACCTACCTCACAGAACAAAATGGGTGGAGTGCAGGAAAAAATTCTATATATGGTCAATAAGAAAAAAATAAATCTGAAGTAATAAATAAACATAGCAGATTATTTGTATTTTTTTTCCCTTAAATAAGGCTGAGGAATGAAAAAAACATAGTTTGTTTTGATTTCTAATTTGGATGTCTACCAAGATCTATGAGGCCAGGAAGACCTGGCTCTTCCTCTAAGCATTGGGCTAGGATGTTTCTCAAATTCCAAAGTTGGCTTAAATTCGGCATTTCAGCGGGCAAACAGCAAAACTGCATTATCAACCCATAAGAAAGGTTAAGTTCAGCACACTTACTGCATTCTAGACTTATCAAAACTACAAAGGAGAGGACAGAAATGCATGTATTTTAAATCATTTAAATGCATGCATGTTAAATCATTCTGCAGTTAAATCTACTCTGCTTTTTGTAGGTATACTAATCCATGGTAACCTGTCATTACAAAAATTGTCAGTCCAAAATGGACTGGAGTGCTAAAGGGCAAACAAACAAGCAAAAAAGAAGAGGAGGAGAAGGAAGGGGGGGGGGGAGATGCCTAGTCATTGATATATTAGATGATTTTCACAGTGCTGAACTAAAACCAAGTGCTTAAGACAGAGAAAAGGAAGAGTCTTATTGGAGTTTATTTCCTTTCAAGAGAGGGAATGAGACAAAGACAGGGTGTATTGGCCTCCCTTTACCCATTAGGCTTAAAGTGATTTTTTAAAAATGAAAATAACAAAGAGGAAACCAAGAGGTTACTTTTTTCTGAGATGGCAGTTACTCCAGAAAAGTGCCTTCTCTATATTGACAGACTTCTCTATGGACTGACTGGACAAGAACACATTTTCAGAACAAGGCAACTTCTTATTCTAAACAACCATTTTGCGGTATATCATTGGCAAACTGACATATGAGAAATTATGAAATATTTTAAACATTGCATCTTTATATTTTAAAATGTAAGGTCAACCTGTTCTGTAGCAACCTTCAGATTTCAGTACAACTTGGTATGTATTGGGCAGACGGTTTGGGTGAGGGGTGAACTGGTACACAGATGGTACACAGAATTTTTGTTCCTTCATTGCCTCCTTGTTATACATATATAAGGAATACTACCCAGAAAACTAAAATTGTCATCTAATTTAGAACTGAGCTTTCTAAACATGATTGGCTGAATGAAGCGCAGGATGCATACCACCTAGAACCACTGGAAGTCATAATGGGAAACAGTGAGATGCATTGCGTAGATTGTCAGTTTAGGTCCAGGACAATTCTCTTGTCAGCTCTGGCTGAAACATGAAGCATTCTCTGTCTAAGCCTGACTTCCAAGTTTGTTATCAGGATAACATGGAGGAGATGGTTATCACATACCTTATCCTGCTGTCTTTGAAGGAAGAGTAGTATTACTGTATTAAATAAGTATCTGGACAAATCTAACAAGGAGGAAGTTGTTATATACCACATGTTAGAATGAATGGGAGGCAATCACTCTTGCTAATAACAAAAATAATCAATTTGGTATTTGAAGAAATCATACATACTGTACTTTTTAATGTTAAATATAATTCTAATATCAATAGTGTTATTGTACATTATACTGATTTTGTATTTTTGTGTAGATAAGAGAATTCAAACATATTCTGATTGTCAAACAATTTTGTAACCTCATAAAATCTTCATTAAATTAACATTTTCAACTATCTAATAAACAGTGATACATTTCCATGCCCTTTATTTTACAAAGAATATTACCAGTTCTCGAGGCAGAAAGGTTTCTTCCTGGCGAGCAATGACCAGGGAAACTACCTCTCCTTGTTTTGTGCTCCTCAGTGTGGCTACAAGCTCTTCTTGAGTCCTGCCAGTGATGTCTCTACCATTCACCTAATGAACACCATTAAATGAACAAGTCAGCAAAAATATTTCACTATATATTATTAAATATTGAGCAACTTAATCTATATGATATCAAACTAAGGATTATGGGCCTAATCCATCTAGGTCATCCATCTTGCAGATGCTTCAAAAGTTCCCTCCCATCCTTCCATTCCATTCGACTCAGCCACCACTGCAGGAATTCCAGTGAAAATTCATAAGGACAGATCTATTCTGCAGCAGCAGAACAGTTGCTTTTTTTTTCTTTTTAGATTTTTTATCCCACCTTTATTATTTTTATAAATAATTCAAGGTGGCGAACATATCTAATACTCCTTCCTCCTCCTCCCCACAACAACAACCCTGTGGGGTGAGCTGGGCTGAGAGAGAGGGACTGGCCCAAAGTCACCCAGCCAGCTTTCATGCCTAAAGCAGGACTAGAACTCACCATCTCTGCTTTCTAGCCTGGTGCCTTAACCACTGGACCAAACTGGCTTTTTCAAGTTTTTGCAAGTTCGCTACTTGAGTCCCTGCACGAACACCATTTCAACCCCACCCCGGCCTCTAATGGGGGAAGGCATAAGGCTGCTGAAGCCGAGGTTTGCCTGTGGTTGCATTAGATGACACACTTGTAAGGATGGAGCACTAAACTTGCCTGTCAGGGAAGACATACTTCAAAACATTTCCTGACTCAAGCCAGACGTTGTCACAAAGACTAAACTTGAATTTTGACTTCTCTCCAACAATGTCATCTGATTTAGGCATGATTTCACTTCACCCAGAACTGCACAGATTTTGCAGTTGTCTGTGCCAAGTGAAGTATGGTGAATGGCTACTGAGGAAAGGCTTTTTCAGCTATAGCATGATAAGCATCCCCAGAGAAACTTGCTTTGTGCCTGCTTTGTGCTTTTTTTCCCCCCCACATAATGTGAGAAACACATTAAACAGGTATATCCAAAACCTGTTTGAATATTGCTCAAAAGGCTTTTTTTTTTAAAGAGCTATTGTATCAGTTTTATAGTGATAGCCAAGACTATTTTGATCTTGAACTTGGGCTTAAGCCCAAGTTGGATTTGGATTTGGATTTCGATGGATCCAAATAATTAATATCATCCAAAATATCTGAATCTGGAAAGCCACAAATTGCTGAATCTTAAGCTTAGCATCTTCAGGAGGAGATTTACATCTCCTTAGAGGTGGGATACCCAAGGAGTATTTATTACTTCTGAATTCCAAATTCCCAGTCTTGCTCAGGGAGATTTTAAAAGCAAAAATGGGCAAGGATCATGAATGCAAACATAGATTATCCAAGAAACCTGACCTCATCTTCAGGTTACAGAAGCTAAACATTAGCTGTAGCAATAGGGCCAGAAGATGATATCCTTGTTTTGGTTAAAAAAAAATCAGCAAGAATGCAAGCAGTTATATTTGCAAAAATGCAACACAAATTGGTTATTATGAGTATTTTACAATTCACTTGGGCCCCATGTTTTACGTTAAACAGGCTTGCATCACTTGAAAAAGCATCATACAATGGCAGAAAAGTTTAGATTTTTTTGCCCTCACCATATACTGTGTTTAAACTCACTTAATAATAAGATTTGTGGTAAGTTGTAAAGGAATAGATTCCCAACCTCCAGTATTCTGTCTCCTGAATGCAAACGGCCATCTTTAACTGCTGCACCTCGAGGCAAAATATTCTTTACAAATATAGGACCAGGACCGTGTATGGAGGAGTCCCTGGTGACCACAGTAAAACCTAGTCCTTCAGGTCCTAAAGAATAGAAGAAGTATCTGTAAATATGAGACCAACAACAACAAACAGAAGGCTGTTCTCAAAAGCTTTCAAATATGTATATTCAGTCAAAGTGGGTTTGTTTTAAATAGGTAAGAATAGTATGATCCATTCCTTGTTTTCATGCTCAGTTAAGACACCATCTTCAGCTTCTCCTGAGCAGCAATTAAGTGCTTCTTTCATCTGATTTCTTCAAATTCAACAGGAATTATTGCCTGTTTCCCCACTTCTGTTCTGTACATTGTTTTTACATAAGGCATGCAGTAACTCAACGAATGAACACAAACTAACAACATATTACAGTAGAAAAGGTCAAAAGTACAGCAAAAACATCTGGAGGCATTTTTTAATCTGCATAACAAATAGTATTTGTTATGTTATTATTAGAGGCGTGCAGTATTCAAATCTGAAGTGGGCAAAGAGGCTTCAGCTTTGGTGTGGGCACCTTCACTATTGGTATCTATTGGCAGCTCCTGAAAGGAGCCTTCCCTTTACTTGGGCTTTCACGGTAACCATGTGGGCTCAGAAAAGTCATCTGAGTTCAGGAGGCACTGCAGAAGTGGCAACCACACACTGCTGCCTTGTTACCACCTCCATAACTCAGATGAGCCCCATGCAGCTACTATGTAAGTCCTGTACAGCAACAAGCATAACAGCAGTTCCCACATTGGATCTGAAGCACCTTTGCCTGCTTTAGATCTGAATATGGCACATTGATAGCTATTATGATCTTGAAATAAGTGCTCAGAAGCTGTCCATTTGCAGTTAGTCATTTTATTCTCTAGCCTTTAGGGATTCTTGAAAATTGGTGTGTCAGGAGATCTTATACAAAAGTTCACTGGCTATTTTGTTGTTGCATTAGTCACTCCTGAATGCTAGCTTTCCAAGAACAGGAATGCTAGAATAGGAGTGTCCTTGTGTATTGCTTACAACTCTTGTGGATCTCTCTGATATCAAACTGCTAAATAGCAGAGTCCTAACTTAGGCACAAAGCCCTACAGGGAGTCTTTCTTTGATAAAAACTTAGACAGAAGCCATTAGGAGAGTTGACCTTGTTAACGGCTCCAGCAGGAGTTCCATGGGCAAAACCTTTTCAAACTCATTTTGGGCACATTCTCGGAAGTATGTTATGGTATAGAACCTGAAATTGTTTTTCATGGTGATCTCTACTTACAGACCTTTCAAGGAGTTCTTTGCAGCCAACACCTAGTGACAACATATACATATGCACACACATATTCAACAGAAAGACAAGACAGAATGTGACACCTCTCTAAACATTTCTGCTCCTAGCTATGCTCAGAAGTAAGTAAGACTATGCATATATTTGTGTGGAATTTGGAGTAATTTTAAGTGCTCAAGGCTTAGAACTTGGAAACTGATGAAGTATCAAAGCTTGCTAATTGCTAACTTTATGTATTATTTCTTTATTTTACTTTCTTGGAGTACTTTATGGACAATAAAATTGAAACAAGTAGAAACTAAAGCCCTTTCAAGCCATGGGTAAACCTTCTAGTGTGAAGTAAACAGTCTGCTGTGCAACTTATCCACAGAATACCCTAGTCCTCAAAAGATCACTCTCAAGTGGGCTTTGAGAAGTAAGTTTTTGACTTGTTTAACCTGCCATGGCTTTGAATTTAACATGAAAATATCTTGTTGCCATAATTCAGTGTTCAGACTTCAAACCAAATTCTCTTAATTCTGTTCTGTAATATGATTTCAGCCAACACTGGTTCATTGAAGAAACTGATAGTTTCATAGGAAGCCTTTTTAAAATCTTAACAACCAGCATGGTACAATGGAATACAGAAAATTATTCAACTAAACCTTATCAGTATCAGTAGGTATCAAGTTACTATTTCATCTTATTAAAACATTCCAGCAGACATAATGTTTGTTGACTGAAAATAAAAGTAACCAGGAAGTCCAGCTTCTGTGTGGAAAGACATTTAAATGCAGTGGCAGCTATATACTGATACCATACTTGTTATTTGCCAGTTGCCTCCTCTGTGTAAGTGCTTACCTACTTCTGTTTCCAGGTAGCACTCCAGCTGCTTTTGCCATGCATGAGTCAAATTTATACATCCACATCACCGGTATGTAAATCAAGCCTTAAAAATCATATTAGGAAAGTGTTAACAACTTATAATACAACCATCACCTTTTTTGAGATCAATCCTTATTTTCTTTGCATTTTTCTTGCTGCCAAAGCCCATTAGTGGGGATAAAGATGGCGATGAAGGCTTTCTATTAATTCTTGGGAAGTTAGGACTCTTGGCAGACGCATGCGTACCAGTCTCTAGATTGTTCGCTCCAGAGAAATCTAGATCTTTCATCATTGGCTTTGGAAGGGCTGCAGATGGAAACTTTCCTTTTGAAATGTGTTCGGCATTATCTGGGGAGTACAATGGTGCGATGACCAACTTCTCGTATTGTTCACGGCCATAAGAAGGGACAACTTCCAGGATGATATTCTGAGATTTCATTGCTTGGCGGAAGAGATCTTGTGCTCTTGAAAAAATTTAAAAAAAAAAACATAAAATGATCTGAATAATTAAGCAGTGTTAACTTTTTAACAGTTAAATAGTGTTAACTAGCAATTATTTAATGGAAAGGGCTTTTAAAGATTCTCACAATACTACTTAGTTTCTTTACATTCTTACAAAGTATGTTAGTTTATTTAGAAAAGTGAATTTATACTTCTAACCGATTCATTTTCATAGCACTTAAGTATCCATTTCAGCATACAAAGACTTTTATTGTTCTTATCCTAATAACTGTAAAATAAAATATACTGTGAGATGGAGACTATCTTGCTCTTCTCCATAACTGAGATTTGAATTTAGGATTTTCATACTTTAAACTAAGTTCCATTATTATCAATTTTATTTTTATATGCCTTTTCCTTCTGTTCACTGTCTCTACCAACTAGAATATATAATGATACCTGTATATCCATACCTTTGTCATTTGCCTTTTCTCCCTAACCCTCTCATCACTGCTAGATATTCAAGTAGAATATGATTCTGTTTGTAATCTGACTAAAGATTTCCTAATGTGTAACAATGGAACAAGATCATATCTTATCCACTCTAAATCTCTACTCATCTAAATAGACCAAAATTACCATATTGAAAATGGGAAATTAATTTTGCTACACAGATCTATGTATACCAGATTTTGGGATTTTCTTTCACCTTTTTTTTTGTAATGCCATTGAATCAGCATTGACTCCTGGCGACTGCCTAGACTAGTCCCTGAAGGTTTCTTGGCAAGGTTTCTTGGAAGTGGTTTGCCCTTGCCTGCTTCCTTGGGTTGAGAGAGAGTGACTGGCCCAAGGTCACCCAGCTGGCTTTGTGGCTAAGGTGGTACTAGAATTCCTGGTTTCTAGCCTAGTGCTTTAACCACTATACTGGACTGGCTCTCAGATTTTGTATACATATGTTGAATTTATACTTTACATAAATGTGCATAAATAAAGTCTTAATGGAGCTCTGGTGTGGGAGTGGTGTGACTGGTATGTATGACAGGTATGACATTGAGATTTTTTAGGGGCCTCAATTTGTTTTTAGATATAATGCATGTAGTATCTCAGAAAAACCATTCCCTTCTATTGTTGCATAAGAGGAAAATATTTTCTTTCTTTTTGCTGTTTTATGTGAAATTTCTTAAAAGATAGCAATTCAGGCAATAAAAGGGAAGACTATATATTAAAAGAGAAAATCACGAGATTCCCAGGGGAGGCATGGCGAACTGAAGACATCCCTATGAAAGCAGAGCTAATGACCATGGCAAAGACCAAAGAACCGGTGAGTAGTCCAATTCCTTGGAACCTCTCCAGATAAGGAGAGGATGGGAGATCACCCAAATGTGCTCCAGACAGTTGCTTCTTGCAAGGAGTCCGCAGAAGAGAGGTCTTCCACAGGTTTGAGTGCTGGGAAACAAAGGGATTAGCCATCTTGCTCGCAACCACGGCACAGCCTTTTAGAGGGCACAAAGTTCACAAGCCTCACTTTCTAATCACTTTCAGAGATTGCCTTCTAACCATCTTAAAGTTATTAGAGATCTTCAGAATGACAAGGTTGAAAAGTCACTGGGTGAGTTTATCTTCAACTCTGAACAAAAGAAAC